CTGCCCCGCCGCCGCCGCCGCCGCCCGCGGCGGCGCCCGCGGCGGCGCCGCCGCGGGCGGCCCCGCGGGACGACTCCCTCGCGGCGCTCAAGGCCAAGGTCGCCGAGTGCCGCGCGATTTTAGGCGACGGCTTCGGCGAGGGCTACGTCGCCGCGTGCCTCGCCGCGCTCGCCTTCGACACAAACGCCGTCGTCTCGCGCCTCCTCGACGGCCGGCCGCCGCCCGAGGTCGCGCACCTGTCGCCCCAGCTCGCGGACGTCGCGCTCGCCAAGCCCCGGACGCTCCGCTCGGCCCCGGCGCCGCCGGACGCGGCCTTCGCGGCGCGGCAGAAGGCCCGCGCGCGGCGCCTCGAGCGCGACGACCGCGAGGCCGAGGAGCTCCGCCTCCTCGCCGGCGGCCTCTACGACGACGACTACGACGACCGCTACGACGGCCCCGACGACCCCATCGTCGCCGCGACCGCGCTCGGCGACCAGCTGTGTGCAAATCAAATCTTCAACCCGACTTCAATGTGCGCGTATGCGACAATTTTGATGCAAGCTCTTCGGCTGTGCTTCGAGACCTCGACGAGAGCAATCGATTCGTCCAAAAATCAGCCGAATCGACTTCGATTTGACCGAGCTAGAGAATTCTCAAGTTTGGCCCCGACGTCCCAGCTCACTGGTTGATTTGCACACAGGCGACCAGGACGCGGTCCGCAAGGCCAACAGGGTCGCGCGCGCCGACGAGGCCGAGGACGCCTACTGGGCCGGGCAGCGCAACCTCAACCACGCCGCGCCGGCCTTCGCGCCCGCGGCCGCCGCCGCCGCGGAGGACGGCGCCGCCGCGGGCCCCGCGCCCGCGCCGCCGCCGGACGCGAAGAAGGTCGCCATCCAGCGCAAGCGGAACAACAAGAACAAGTCCGCCGTCGCCAACCACCACCGGAAGGACCGCGCGCTCAAGAAGGCGATGTACTAAGAGCCTGCTTGACGTTCAACATGCCATTTGGTGCCGCGTCGATTGCTTGACGTTCAACTTGCCTGTGACCCGACTCGGAGATGTGTGATGAGCTCAGCTGCGACGATGACGAGGTAGCGCTGATCATCCGCTGAATGCGGCGCGCGGTCGCAGCGCTCCCGCTCGCCGGCTCCGCCGCGGCCGCGCGGTCGCAGCAGCAGCCGCGCCACCAAGACGACGAGTTCCGCGTGCTCGTCGTCGGCGCCGGGCTGGGCGGCTGCGTCTGCGCGTCGGAGCTGCGCAAGCGCTTCGAGGACGGCGGCCCGACGCTGCGCCTGAGCGTCTGGGAGCGCGCGACCTACTGCGCGGGGCGATTCGGCGCGCGCGCGGTCCACGGCGGCCGCGCCGTCGACCTCGGGAGCCAGGTGCTCTCGGTCGTCGACCCGAGCGACGCGCGCGCCGCGCCGGGCCACGGCGTGAGCGCCGAGGCCTCCATCGCCGCGTTCGCTGAGGCGTCCCGGCTCGCGCGCGCCGGGCTCCTCGTCCCCGCGGACGACGGCGCGCTCGCCGGGACCGAGGAGCGGCTCAACTGGCCGGGCCTCTGGCGCCACTACCGCGCCGCGACGTCGCTCTCCGACGTCCTCGAAGACGTGCTCGCGCGCGCGCGGCCCGCGGACGTGCGCTTCGGCCGCCGCGTCGACGCCGTCGCGGTGTCGGACCGCGGCATCGTCGTCTCGGCGACGCAGCGGCCGGCGGGCGAGCGCGTCGCGGAGACCTTCGACGCCGTCGTGGTCGCCGTCGCGGCGCCGGACGCGCTGGCCATCGGCGGCGCGGCCGGCGGCCTGCCCGCGGGGGCCGTCGTCGCGGGCGTCGCCTACGACGCGCGGACGGCGGCGGCCTTCTTCTTCGACGACGCCGGCGGCGCGCTGTGTGCAAATCAACCACTGGTTTGGGGGGTCCCCACCAAACTTCAGAACTCTCTAGCTCCGTCAAATCGACGTCGATTCGTCTGATTTTTGGACGAATCGATTGCTCTCGTCAAGTTCTCGAAGCCCAGCAGAAGCTTGCGTCGAAACCGTCGCATACGCGCACATTGAAGTCGGGTTGAAGATTTGATTTCCACACAGGCGGCGCGGCGACGGCGGCGCTCGACGCGATCTTCCGGGGCCGCGCGGAGCTCGACGCCTTCGACGCGCCGGGCCTCGAGCTCGTCGCGCGCGCGCGCGGCGCGGCCGCCGTCGTCGCGCACGGGCCCGCGGCGCGCGGCGCGGCGCCGCCCGTCGACGCCGCCGCCGTGCTCGCCGCGCTCGGCGACGACGAGCGCCTCCGCGTCGTTTACACGAAGACCGTTCCCTGGGACGTGGCCCAGGTCGCGAGACCGGCCGAAGCCCTCGCGCCCGAGAGCCCGGTCTCCGCGTCGTCGCCCTGCGTGCCCCACGGCACCGCGAACCTCGTCCTCTGCGGCGACTACTGCACGACGTCGTCCTTCCTCGGCACCTTCGCGTCCGCGCGCGCCGCGGCCATCGTCGTCCGCGACCGGGCGCGGCCAAAGTAACAACAACACCATTATGTGCGCGCGGCCTCACGCGGCGTTCCCCTTCTTCGCGCGCTTGGCCGCCGGCGCCTCGAGGACGGCGACGCCTGCGGGGCGCGCGCGCGTGGGCCGCGGCGGGGCGGGCGGTCGGCGGCGGGGGCCGCGGGGCGTGTCCGATCGTGCGCGGCCGACGTCTTCATTCGCGGTAAAACGACCGACGGAGAGTATTTGACTCCGGCTCTCCGAGCGGCGCGATCGTTCCCCGGGCGGCTAAGCCCCGGCCCAAAGCTTCTTCCTCTCGGACGGCGATGCGTGGAAAAAAACAACGGACGCGGCCGCGCGCAGGGCGGCCGCGGGCCGTCGCAGCCGTCGCCGCCGCCGGCGCCGAAGTTGACGCGGAGCTTGCGGCCGCGGACGCGCCGCGGCCGGCGGCCCGCGGCGTCGACGACCTTGGACGCCGCCGCGACGTCCGCGCAGGTAATCACCGCGGAGCCGTAGAACAGCCGGGTCGTCCGGTCCAGGAGCCAGGTCAGGGGCGTCGCGCGGTCGAGGCTCAGCGCGTCGAGCACCTCGGACCGCTCCGCCGTGAAGGGCAAATTCCCGACGAAGACGAAGCGCGCGGGTGGCCGCGCGGCCTTGGCCGTCGCCCGGTCGTCGCGCTGCCGCTTCGCCGCGGCCTTGCGGGCGACGTCGTCGGCGCCGCCCTTCAACACGCAGTCCGGTAGAGGCGTCGCGCGCGCGCCCGCGTGGTTCTCCCGGCAGAGGCGGCACCGGAGCTTCGCCGCGAGCGCGGGCCGCTTGGCCGCGTCGGCGAAGACGGGGTCGCGGCAGGCCGCGCAGACGACGACGGGCACGCGGCAGTCCTTGGCCGCGCACGCGAACTTGCCTGTGTGGAAATCAACCACTGGTTTGGGGGGTCCCCACCAAACTTCAGAACTCTCTATCTCGGTCAAATCGACGTCGATTCGCCTGATTTTTGGACGCATCGATTGCTTTCGTCGAGTTCTCGAAGCACGGCAGAAAGCCTCGCGTCGAAACCGTCGAATACACGAACATTGAAGTCGGGTTGAATATTTGTTTTCCACACGCGAACTTGCCGCGGTACTCGTCGCACGGCGCGAGGCACGCGGCGCAGCTCCCGAGCGGCCGCCGGTCGGCCTGTTTCTCGGGCCGCTGCTCGAAGCGCTTGTCGAAGAGGTAGTTGGCGCCGCGCCAGTAGCCGCCCTCCGGGAACGTGCGGAGGTAGCGCTCGATGCCGCCGCGGACCATCAAGATCTCCTTCGGCGGGTCCGCGCCCTCGAGGAGCGCCGCGGCCGCGGCCTTGTTCGCGCAGTCCTCCTGGCTCTCGCAGGTCGGCGCGGCGTTCATGTCGTGGAGCAGGGCCGACGCGCGCTCGCAGCGGATGCCCCCCGTGCAGTACATGAGGACGGACCGGCCCGCGAGTTTCTTCTTCGTCTCCGGCAGGTTCAGCCACCGGGGGAACTCGTGCGAGTTGCGGATCTTGGGGTCCAGGAGCTCCGCGCCGCCCGGCGGCGGCACGATGCGGCCGATCTCCGTCTCGTACTGGTTCCGCACGTCGATGACGACGGCGCCCGGCGTCTCCAAGGCCTTGTGGTACGCGTCGGCCTCGAGGTGCCTGGCGGAGTTCGTCGCCAGCTTCGGCGCGCGGTCGTTGGCGAGGCCGTAGCCCACGAGCTCCTCCGTCTTCCGGATCGTCAGCGCCTTGAAGCGCTGGTTCTCCTCGAGGCCGTCGGTGACCTTGAAGTCCGCGGGGCCGAAGAGCGCGCCGTCCCAGGCCCTTAGCGACGCGCAGAATTTGCGCACGTCGCCGCCCCGGCCCGTGAGCGTGCAGTTGAGGCCCTCGGGGGCGCAGCGGCCCCGGCCCGTGATCTTGTGGCGCGCCCCGATGGCCAGCACCTCCGCCAGCGCCTTCTTGTGCTCCGCGTCGGTCCAGGCGGGCTCCCGGTAGGCGTAGAAGAGGAGGAGGCTGACCGCGCCGGGGTCCTCCGCGGGCGGGAGGGCGCGATGGGCCGACGACCGCGCCTGGGCGAGGTCGGCGACGGCCGCCATACGGATGGCCCGGAGAGCGATCGCCGAAGCTGTGGCACTTTGCCGGCACAAAGCAGCGCGCCTCCAAGCCGCGCGCCTTTCTCCCAACCATCGGCTTTGGCCGCGCGTTCTCGACCATGACCACGGAGCTCCAGAGCCTCCTCGACACGTTCGCGAGCCGCCTCGCCGTCGTCGAGGGGAAGCTCGGCGTCGCCGCGGCGGCGGGTGCGCCGCCGGCGGCCGGCGGCGGCGGCGGCGGCGAGGCGCCGTCCATCGCGGCCTTCGACGCCTACTGCGCGGCCTACCTCGACCCCTTCGTCGCGGCCTGCGGCGCCCTCGGGTCGCCCGAGGCGGCGGCCTGCGGCGACGTCGTCGCCGAGGGCTGGGCCGCGATGCGCGCGTTCCTCGTCGCCGCGTCCCAGTCGAAAAAACCGGCGAACTTCCCCGCGGACTGCATGCCCCTGCTCAAGCCGGCGCAGGAGGCCATGGCCAAGGCGTCCAAGGCCGTGGGCCGCGGCGACTGGGAGTGCCACCAGAAGACCGTCTCCGAGGGCCTCCAGTGCCTGAGCTGGCTCGTCGTCGTCCCGGCGCCGCGCGACGTCATCGAGAGCTACATCGGCGGCCAGGACTTCTGGGCGAACAAGATCCGCGTCAAGTACAAGAAGACGGCGCCGGCGCAGACGGCTTTCTGCGACACCTTCAAGAAGCTCATCCAGGAGCTCATGCCCTACGTAAAGGAGCACCACATGGCCGGCGTGACGTTCAACCCCAAGGGCGGCGACCTCGCGGCCTTCGCGGGCGCGCCCGCGCCGGCGCCGAAGACGGCCGCCGCGCCCGCGGCGGCGCCGGCGGCGGCCGGCGGCGGCGCGAAGGCGGGTTTGGGCGCGGCGCTCGCGGGGCTCCAGGGCGCGAACGACCTCCAGTCCAAGGGCCTGCGCAAGGTCACGGACGACCAGAAGACCTACAAGAAGGAGTACGCCGGCGGCGCGGCGCCGGCGCCCAAGGCCAAGCCCAAGGTCGTGGCCCGGAAGCAGACGGTGACCAAGGGCGAGCCGAAGAAGACGCTCGTGGGCAAGAAGTGGCTCGTCGAGAACCAGACCAAGGACTGCGGCGTCGTCACGGTAGACCTCGACGCCGCCGAGGGCCACAAGTTCACGATCTACGTCGTGGCGTGCTACGAGGCGACGATCGTCGTCAACGGCAAGTGCAACTCCGTCACGGTGGACGCGTGCGCGAAGTGCCAGGTCGTCTTCGACTCGTGCATCTCGTCCTTCGAGGTCGTCAACTCCAAGTCCATGAAGGTCCAGGTCCGCGGCACCTGCCCCTCCGTCGCCATCGACAAGACCGACGGCATCCTCACGTACCTGAGCAAGGACACGCTCCCGATCACGTCCTTCCTCACGTCCAAGTCCAGCGACATGCAGGTCTCCTTCCCCGACGACAACGACGACATGGTCGAGGCGCCCATCCCCGAGCAGTTCCAGCACAAGGCCTGCCTCAAGGACGGCAAGCCCAGCCTCACGACGGACGTGTCCGACCTCTACTCCCACTGAGCCGCCGCCGCGCCCCCCGCCCCGCGACGTGAGACGTTAGACGCTGAACGTCCCCTTGGCGCGGGGGTCGCAGATGGGCACGCAGCCGCAGCGGAGGAGCCGCGACGCGAGGCCCTCGCGCGAGAGCTCCGCGGGCGTCGGCTCTGCGGGCGGCGCGGGCGCCGCGTCGTCCGGGTCGTCGACGCGGAAGGTCCCGTCCGGCGCCTCCTTCCAGAGCCAGGAGCCCCGGCGGCGCGACTCGGACATGCCGTCGACGATGTCCCCGCGGAAGACTTGGGCGATCCAGGACGCGTCCCAGGCTCGCGCCGGCGGCGTCAGCGGCTCGGGCAGCTCCGCCGCGGCCTCCGCGGCCTCCGCGGCCTCGGACGTGTCGATGGTGATGAAGGACGACGAGCTCGCGTGAGCCATGATGCCGGGCCGGATCCGCGCCTCGAGCCGGGGCAGCCCTGTCCAGAGAGCGCGCCACGACACAGAGCTCATGTCAACATTGTCCTCAACAACGGTTCCGGCGCATACGATGCATATGGGCCGCCGCGGCCTCGTCGCCGCGGGCGCCGCGGCCGCCGCGGCCTACGTTGCGTACCGGCTCTGGGCCCGGCGGCGGCGCCGGCGGCGGCCGCCGCACGTCGTCCTGATCGTCACGGACCAGGAGCTGCCCTGGGACCGGCTGCCCGTGACCTTCCCCCTCGCCGAGCTCCCGAACCGCTGCCGCCTCAAGAAAGCCTGCGCGTCCTTCGCCAACTTCGTCACGGCGGCGAGCCCCTGCACGCCGAGCCGCGCGACGCTCTACACGGGGCGCCACTTCCAGCACACGGGCGTCTTCGACAATTGCGCGTCGCTCGGCGACAAGGCCGAGACGGTGGGCCACCACCTGCGCCGCGCGGGCTACGCGACGTGCTACGCGGGCAAGTTCCACCTCGACGAGACGTTGTTTTCCAAGTTCGAGCGCGACGCGACGCGCAACGACCCGCGGCTCTTGGACGGCGACCGGAGCCGGGGCTTGGTCCGCGCGCTCCTCGACGAGGCGGCGGCGCGGAAAGCGAAGAAGCCCCACCCCTGGCTCGGCGTCGACTTTTCCGGAGCGCTGGAGCGCTACGGGTTCTCGGAGCCGTGGGCGTCCGTCGGCGACCTGCCCGGCTGGGCGCTCGAGGGCCACGCGGAGGACCCGCTCACCGCGGAGGAGGCCGCGGCCGCGCTCGGCCGCGCGGGCCCGGCGTCCGAGCCCCTCTTCCTCGCCTGCAACTTCGTCAACCCGCACGACATCATGTTCTACGAGGCCGGCGACGGCCAGGAGCGCACGCGGCGCCGGCCCCTGTTCCTGGAGACGATGCCCTTCGCGCGCGCGCGCGACCTCAAGGGCTTCGCGGCGGGCGGCGAACGCGACGACTTCGGAGACGAAGACAAGCCGGCGGCGGCCGACGAGTACGACGACGGCCTGCCGGAGCCCTACGGCAGCCGCTGGCGCGCGCTGCCGCTGAGCCTCCACGCGGACCACGAGGAGTTGTTGCCCAACTCCGTGCTCATGCACCAGGCCGTGTGGAAATCAACCACTGGTCTGTGGGATCCCCACCAAACTTCAAACCTCTCTCTCTCGGTCACATCGAAGTCGATTCGGCTGATTTTTGGACCGATCGATCGCTCTCGTCGACTTCTCGAAGCACAGCGGAAGCGCTCGCGTCGAAACCTTCGCACACGCGCACATTGAAGTCGGGTCGAAGATTTGAGTTCCACGCAGGCACCAGGCGGTCGTCGACGCGCGCTTCGGCCACCTCGCGTCGAACGCGGAGTACGAGCGCTTCCTGGACTACTACCTCAACGCGCTGCGGGACAGCGACGCGCAGCTCGGGGCCGTGCTCGACGCCGTCGACGACCTCGAGCGCCGCGACGGCCGCGGCGTCGTGGTCGTCTTCGCGTCGGACCCAGGGCAGGAAAAGAGAGCGAAATTCCCAACTTCAAAGGCTCCGATCTCGGCCGTTTTCCACTCGTTTCGGCTGATTTTTGGACGAGCGATCATCTCTCGGAACGGTCTCGAAGCATGGATGCTTTTTCCGGAACGCGCGCGCGCGGAACACTCATGTTGAAGAGAACTTGAATCACCCTTTTCCTGCCCAGGTCGGACCACGGCGAGATGCTCGGCGCGCACCAGTGCCGCCAGAAGGGCAACGTGCTCTACCGCGAGAACGTGTCGACGCCCTTTTTGGTTCGGGCGCCGGGCATGGCGCTCGCCCCGGGCGCGGCCGTCGGCGACGTCGTCTCGGCCGTCGACGTGCTGCCGACGATCTTGGACTACGCGGGCGTCCGAATCCCCGCGGACCTCCCGGGCGCGTCGCTGAAACCGTTTCTGGACGGCGCCGCGCCGCGCCACGGGCGGTCCGCGGCGCTCGTGCAGTTCGGTTTGGACTACGGCAAGTTCTTCCGGCGCGTCGCGGCGAGCCGCCACGCGTCGTCGCCCCAGGCCGGCGCGCCGCAGCCCCACCTCGGCGGCTGGGTCGTCGACACGGCCGCGCTCGCGTCCGAGGCCCTGGCCCAGCCCATGCTCGTGGACACGCGGCGGTCGTCGTCGGGCGAGAGCTTGGGCGGGTCCGACGGCGAGGGGTCGACGCCGGGCGGGTCGCTGCTCGACGGCGAGATTCGCATGCGCGCGGGCATGGAGGTCATCTCGGACGCGCGGCGCGCGAACATGGTGCCCCAGCGCTGCGTGCGCCGCTCCGTGACCGTCATGGCGCGGACGCTCGAGCTGCGCGCCCTCGGCCAGTGCGTCGTCACGGGCCGCCACAAGTTCGGGCGCTTCTTCTCGCCCCGCGACCACCAGCTCCCGGAGACGTGGGACGCGCTCTTCGAGGCCAACGACGTCGTCGCCTACGACACGCTCGACGACCCCTACGAGCTCGTCAACCTCGCGCACCCGCGCTACCGCGACCGCAACCGCGCGCTGCTCCTGCGGCTCAACGACGCGCTCAACGCGGCCATCGCCGCGGAGACGGCGACGCCGGGGCCGCCGCGCGTGCCCTGGACCTCGCGGCGACGAGCGGGGGCGTAACGGGGGGTTAAGGCGGGGACCGGACCCGAGGAGGCGAGGAGGCAGTCCGCGCGCGCGTCGATGAGCACGCCGTGGGGGCGGATGGTGGGCCTGCGCGCGTCGAAGCTGCAGCCCGCTGAAGACGAAGAAGATGATGACGATGCAGACGAAGAAGGCGAAGAAGAAGAAGAAGACGAAGACGGCGGGATATGTCGTGCGCTTCTCGGCGCTCGAGCCTCCTTCGACAGAGCGCGGCCTGCGGGTGGTCGCGGCCGTACTCGCGCTCGAAGATCGCGAGCGCGCGCTCGAGGAGGCCACGCTTCTTCGTCGCATCGCCGAGCTCGCCGTGCGCGACACCGAGATTCATCAGCGTTTCGGCCGATTTCACGTGGCCTCGGCCAAACTCGCGCTCGTGGATCGCGAGCGCGCGCTCGAGGACGTCGCGCGCCTTAGCCGCGTCACCGAGGGCGATGTGCGCGCTCCCGAGATTCGTCAGCGTGATGGCTACTTCGCTGTGTTCGCTGCCGTGCTCGAGCTCGAAGATCGCGAGCGCGCGCTCGAGAGAGACCGCGCGCCTTGGCGTTATCGCCGAGTTTGTAGTGCGCGTTCCCGAGGTTCCTCAGCGTCCTGGCCACATAGACGTGGTCGCCGCCGTACTCGCGCTCCTGGATCGCGAGCGCGCGCTCGAGGAGCTCGCGCGCCTTGGCGTTGTCGCCGAGGGAGCCGTGCGCGTCCCCGAGGTCCGACAGCGTGCTGGCCACGGTCGTGTGGTCGCGGCCGAACTTGCGCTCCAAGATCGCGAGCGCGTGCTCGAGGACGTCGCGCTGCTTGACGTAGTCGCCGAGGGAGCCGTGCGCGTTCGCGAGGTTCCCCAGCGCCAAGGCCACCACCACGTTTTCGCTGCCGTACTCGCGCTCCAAGATCGCGAGCGCGCGCTCGAGGAGGTCGCGCTTCTTCGCGTAGTCGCCGAGGGAGCCGTACGCATTCCCGAGGCCCATCAGCGTCCCAGCAACCTCCTTGTGGTCGCGGCCGTACTCGCGCTCCTGGATCGCGAGCGCGCGCTCGAGGAGGTCGCGCCACTTGGCGTAGTCGCCGAGGGAGCCGTACGTGCCACCGAGATGCTTCAGCGCGAAGACCACCTCGCGGTGATCGGGCCCAAACTCGCGCTCCTTGATCTCCAGAATCTTCTCCAAGACGCGCACCGCGCTCGCGTGCTCCGCGATCGAATAGAGAAGCACCTCTAGCTCGCCGAGCAGCCTCTCGTCCGTCGCGCGGTCGGAGCCGAGCACGCGATCCACGAGGTCGTCGACGTTCTCCGCATCGGCGACGGGCAACGCGCAGAGCATGTTGAGGCGCTGCTCGACGGCGTCCGCGTTGCCGAGGAAGTACTCGCGGAAGAACTCGTAGGTCACGTGGCTCTTGTGCATGGGCTCCGACTGCTTGATCGCGGCGTGGTGGATCTGGAGCTCGCAGAGATGCAACACCTCCTCGCCCGCGGCGCCTTCGACGCGCACCGCCACGTTCATGAGAATGTCGCGATAGCCGTTAAAGCACGGCGGGTTGAACCGGTTCTTCGTCCGCACGATGTCGACGCGCGGGTCTTCGTCGAGCGCTTCGTAGAGCCGCACGATCTCGTCCTCGGTCGCGCACATGACGGAGCCGCGCACGACGTCGAAGAGCCAGGACGTGGCCGGCGCCGTATTCTTCGCGTACTCGTTCCGCGCCTTGGCCTCGGCGCGCGCGCGCCCCTTGAGCGGCGCAAGCTTCAGGACCGCGCCGTCCGGGCACGCGGCGGTCATGACCTCGCCGTACTTGAGCAACGCCTTCTCCGCGACCGCGTACAGCTCATCGAGCGTCGTCGCCGGCGCGCCGTGCAGCCCGCACTGGCGCCGGTCGTCGCCGAGGCCTTTGCCGCGCCACGCGATTTCGCAGACCGTGCCCGTGAAGTGCTCGTCGTAGACGGCCTCGATCTGGTCGCGGGCGATCTTGAACTGCTTCAGGTTCGTAAATAATATAGCCTTCTTTCGGTTGAGGAGGCCGTGCGCCTCGGCGTAGGCCTGGACCTTTGGCCACGCGACGACGTCGTCCTCCTTGGCCGCAGCGAAGGCCTGCTGCGCCTCTTCGCCGTAGAGCACGCCGATCTCGTTCTTGATGTCGACCTCCGCCAGGGGCTGCTGCGCCGTGCTCACGGCGGCGCCCATGGCGGGCTGCCTTTTAGGCTACTGAAACGGCAAGCAGGTTGATCGAGACGTTGAGGAGCTGGATGCCGCCGAGGAGCAGGCACGGCCGGCTCCGCCTCCAGAGGCGAATCGATCTCTGTGCTCGAACACTCAGACGCCGTCGGCTGGCAACGCGCATCGCGTGCGGGCATCGGGTTCCGCGCATCGCAGCGTTCCGGCGGCGCATCCCGCGCAAAATCCCCAAACCCCGGACGCGCATCGCGAACACACCGGCTCCCCTTGACGCCGACCCATGTCCTACCTCGACCAGATCGCGCGCGCCGGCGGCCAGGGCGACGGCGGCCCGCCGCTGTCGACGCTCGGCTTCGCGCCGACGGGCCGCGCGTCCTGCAAGGGCTGCGGCGGCGCCATCCCCAAGGGCGGCCTCCGCGCGACCAAGTTCGTGCGCTCCGCGCACCACGACGGCTACGACGCCGCGCACTACCACGCGGAGTGCCTCAAGAGCCCGCCGCGCGGCTTCGACCCGCGGTGCGTGCTCGCGCTGCCCTGGCGCGACCAGCTGAACTTCTCCGGCGACGACGCGCAGAAGGACGCGCTCCGCGGGAATCCCGACGCGCAGCGCGCGAGCGAGCTCCTGAGCGAGACGCGGAAGGCGCTCGCGAACGACGTCAAGCCCAAGGACGTGAAGCAGCTCTGCGAGGAGAACGGCTACGCGCTCGTCAGCGGGCCCAAGCCCATCCCGCTCGACACGCTCCTCGACGTCGCCGCCGACGGCCTCTGCTTCGGGAAACTCGCCGCGTGCGGCGCGTGCGGGTCGCGCGCGCTCCGCCACGCGGGCGCGGGCCAGGGCGGCCACGCGCTGACGTGGTGCACGGGCTGGGCGTCGGCGTCGACGGCCTGCGCCTTCGTCTCGCGCGACCCGCCGCCGCGCGAGTCCAAGGCCTGGGAGGGCTCGGCGGCGCTCCGCAAGGGCAAGGCGCGCGCGGCGCTCGCGGCGCTGCTCGAGGACGCCGACGGCCGCGCGGGCCGCGGCGCGCCGGATCCGTCCGCCGCGTCGCCGCCGCCGAAGAAGAAGGCGCGGACGTCCGCCGCGGCGGCGCCGCCGCCGCCGCCGTCGCCCAAGCTCAAGGCCGTGCCGCCGGACTCGCGGCTCCTCGTCGTCGACTCGCTCGCGTTGCAGGAGGCGGGCGCGGCGGGCGCGGCGGGCGGCCGCGTCTCCGTCGTCGTCACGCACGGCGGGCGCACGGCGATGAACGTGCAGCTCGTGCTCGTGGACAGCTGTGTGCAAATCAACCACTGCTTTGGGACGTCCCGACCAAACTTTGAAATTCTCTATCTCAGCCAATTCAAAGTCGATTCGGCTGATTTTTGGATGGATCGATTTCTCTCATCGAGTTCTCGAAGCACAGCCGAAGAGCTTGTGTCGAAACATTCGAATACACGCACATTGAAGTCGGTTTGAAGATTTGATTTGCACACAGGTGGACAGCGCGCACGAGGCGAACAAGTTCTACCGGCTCCAGTGCCTCAACTTCGGCGAGCGCTACGCGGTCTTCTCGCGCTGGGGCCGCGTGGGCCAGGACGACGGCCGCGGCGTCTACAGCGCCTACGGCGGCTCGCGGGCGAACAAGTGCATGCTCCACTTCCATCCCACGCTCGCCGACGCGCAGCAAGAGTTTTCGCACTACTTCAATCGCCACACGCTCAACGACTGGCCCGTCTTCGCGGCGACGCGCGCCTTCGAGCAGAAGCCCGGTTGCTACGACGTCGTGCGCCACGCGGACGCGGAGCTCGCGGGCGACGACGACGGGCCGGCGGCGCCGGCCGTTTCGCGGCCGGCGGCGGACCTCGGCGGCCTGGGCATCAAGGAGCTGAAGCGCCTCGCGGCGGAGCGCGGCGTCGACGTGTCGACGTGCTTCGAGAAGCGCGACCTCGTCGCCGCCGTCGCGGCGGCGCTCCCGGCCGCGCCGGCCGCGGCGCCGCCGCCGGCGTCGCTCGCGCCCCTCGAAACGTCCGTCGAGGCCTTCGTGCGCTGCATCATGGACAAGAAGAACCTCGAGGACGACCTCTCGAAGCGCGACGTCGACGTGAAAAAGTTCCCGTTGGGCGAGATCTCGCTCGCGTGCGTCAAGCGCGCCTACGCGGCGCTGTCGGCCGCGTCCGCCGCCGTCGAGCGCGCCGAGGCCACGGACGCGGCCCGGCAGTCCGACGTCGACCGCGCGCGCGACGCCGCCGCGGTGACGTCCGCGACGAACGACTTCCTCCGCGCGATCCCGCACAAGGTCGGCCGCGGCGCCATGGCCGCGCTCCGCCTCGACTCCCGCGCGGTCATCCGGGAGAAGCTCGACCTCGTCGCGGCGCTCGAGCAGGTCCTCGTGCGCCTCCGCCTCGACCGCTCCGGCGCGGCGCCCGCGGCGCCCGCGGCGGACCCCCGCGACGAAGCGCGCCGCCAGTACGACGCCCTCGGCTGCGAGCTGACGCCCGTCGACCGGGGCACGCGGGCCTACGCGGAGATCGCCGCCTACCTCGCGCGGGGCTGGCCGCGCGCGCGGCTCGACGCGCTGTTCGAGGCGCGCATCCCGAAGCAGGAGGCGGCCTTCGCGCCGCACCGGACCGACGACTGCCGGCTCCTCTGGCACGGGTCGTCGCTGGCGAACTGGTGCGGCATCCTGAACGGCGGCCTGCGCATCGCGCCGCCCGAGGCGCCGGCGAACGGCTACAACTTCGACAAGGGCCTCTATTTCGCCGACTACGCGTCCAAGAGCGCCCAGTACTGCCGCGCGGACGACGGCGCGCCGGCCGTGCTCTGCCTCGCGGAGGTCGCCGTCGGCCGCCAGCACCGCGTCACGGCGCCGGACGTCAACGCGAACAACACGCGGCGCCTCAACTCCAAGGACTCCGTCTTCGCCCAGGGCAGGCTCGTGCCGGACCCGGCGGCCGGCGACCTCGACCACGGCGGCGCCAAGATCCCGCTCGGCGCGCCCGTGGCCTTCGCGCCGCCGGCCGACGCGCCCCCGCAGCAGCGGTTCATGGGCCACAACGAGCTCATCGTCTACGAGGAGGCGCGCCACAAGATCAAGTACGTCCTCCAGGTCCGCGCGGGGCCGCGGGGCCAGTGAGTGTGTCCTTACGCCGCGGTCCTAGACGTGGACGTTGACCGTGAGGCCGACGTTGAGGGGCGTGACGCCGCGGACGAAGCCCTGGGGCCCGAGGAGGGGCGCGCTGTCGTCGGGCACGCAGCCGAGGGTCAGCGTCGTGCGGTCGTTCTGGCGGCTCGCGGAGAGCGCGAGGTCCGTGTCCGGCACTCGGTACGCGGCGACGAGCTGCGCGGGCTGCGTGCCGAGCGCCTGCTTGAGCTGCGCGATCTGGGCCTGGTAGAGCTGGAAGAGCTGGACGTAGGCCTGCTGCTGGCTCGCGGCCTTGGCGCCCACGGAGCCGACCTTGGCTTGGCGGGACGCGATCTCGCCGAGGACGGCGGCGAGCGACGCGCGATCCGACGACGCGTCCCAGGAGCTCCCGGGCCGCGCGGCGGCGGCGGCCGCGGCCTCGAAGGCCGCGTCGGCCTCGGCGGGGCTCCCGCCGCCGGCGATCAGGGCGGACCGGACGACGGCGAGCTGCTTGACGAAGAGGCTCTCGAGCGCCGCGTCGATCGCGCTTTCGAGCGACGCGGCCGCGGCCGCGTCGTCGATGGGGCCCGCCGCGGCTAAAGCCTTGTCGTAGGCCGCGCCGAGCTTCGCGCCGAGGTCCTCGACGGCCTTGCCCGCGCCGAGCTCCGCCTCGAGGCCGCCGACGGCGGACTCGCAGGCCTTGAGCCCGGCGGAGAAGGCCTTGCCGACGGCGAACGTGGGGTCGGCCTCCTCCGCGCCGCCGCGCACGGCCAGGCGGAGCGGCGCCGGGCGGACCGCGCCCGAGGCCGCGAAAACGCCGAGGCACGCGAGCGCGAGCACTCGCCGTGTAGAGGTCGCCATGCTCTCTCTTCAACCAGACAGCGAGCAGGCTTGCCGCAGCCGAGGACTTTGAGCATGGGAGCCGCCTTTCGCACCTCACGGTGCGCGATTTTGTAGCGTCTTGCTGCCATCTACTTTCGCACCTCCCAGTGCGGACTTTCGCACCTCTCAGTGTGAGCGGTTTTGTAG